CCCCCCCCCCGGTTCCGCCGGCCATGTACTGCAAATCTCAAATCAATTAAGTGAACCCCAAAGTTGATGAACTTATATATAAATAATTGTAAGTTACTTTTCATGATTTATATATAATGATTTGTTACCCTTTCCTTATTTATATATAATGAAACTAGTAACCTTATATTATATAAATAATGTTTGGTTACCCTTTCATTATTTATATATAATGAAATCAGTACACTAATTATATATAAATAATGAAAACGTTAACGCAATTATTTACATATAATCTTTTAGACGTAAATGCATTATATATAAATAATAGGTGATCTATTCAATTATACGTTAAATGATGAATTATATATAAATAATAGTGTTAAATAATAAGTTTACACTTGGCGCCTCATAGACTGCAAGCAGCGCAAAAACGTCATGTCAATAATATCATACCCATTTCTGTAGTATATACCGGTATTGAGTGGTAAAACAAAGCAACTTTTCTGGAACTAACATTTAATTACCAATATTTATACATTTGTTAAATTGTTTTTCAATATCAACGTAAATTATGCTACTATATTATGCTACGTTTTGGTGAAATTATGCGTAGCATAAATGCTAAATGCTACAGGGGTCTAAATTATGCTACAAAGCATATATGCTACGTGTGGCCACGTTGTCTATAACCATATGATTCAGTCACGCACAGATATCTGTGCGTGACTGAATCAATTTGAACAGAAATTTTGTAAACCAAGTATTTGTCTAAGTTAAAAAGAAAATAATACAAATGTGGAATACAACCTAACGACATAGAAATATGCATGAGATTATAGGCCTTCTCGTTATATTTTACCAAACTCCATCATGCATTGTTGAACATGAATAGGCTTATTTCAAGGTACGTTAAACTTTATCAACAATAACCAGCTGTCCTCGATCGAAAGTACGGTATAATGCCTTGTCGGCCCAAAATATTTCTTTAGGTATCGTAAGCATTTGTATAACACAGATTTACCAAGTTTTAAATATTGCTGTTTACAGCAAGTTCAAAGTTATCGGAATTATTGTGCGTGAACCGTTTTATTAGGGCCTATTCATTCCTATTGAGGCCCGGGTGTCTAGGATGTGGCTATAAAAATGACGATGAAAATGAGGATATAAACAGTAATAATATTAATGTATTTATTTTCTCCACTCCAACATTACGTAGTAAACATATGCAGAGAATAGGGATCCACAGGAGGAACAATTAATATACCTAATATTTCTTCCAATATTAGGTCTATAATAATAACTAATAATAATAAATAATCATAAGTAATAATAATAATAAATTACAATAAAATATGAATAATTTATTATTAATATTAATAATAATAATAAATAATGGTAATAATAAATAATGGTAATAATAATAATAATAATAATAATAATAATAATAATAATAATAATAATAATAACAATAATAGGGCCTACATTGGTTACGATGATGACGACAGAGTACAATGTATTTAAACGCTCACATGGGTAGTAGTGGTATACTGTGGGCATACAATGCTCATAACAATCACCGAGATTTATATGAACATTATGTACTCCGTTCGTTGGTACGTGAGACAAATACTGAACATAAAAAAAACTTTACATCTTTTAACTCAGAGGCCATAAAGTCAAAATGCCTCTGCAAGATAATGAATTCGAACAAAATACAATTCTTGTAGTGTAGAGTACTGTAGTAGATAATACTGGCGTTTCTATTTTAGTTTGTTAATAAAAGTGTTTATACTCTGGGTCTGACGTATCATATCAAATAGGCGATCTATACATTGTCATAAGCTCCTTGCGTTCAAGATGATTTAATAATGTGCCTGTGGTGTTCCAATCTATTAAGTATAGAATGATAAATTACAGTAGTTAGAAAATAAATAATAATAATAACAATAATAATAATAATAATAATAATAATATGATATAGTAGGCCTAAAAATAGAATCAGAGTTCATTATTCCTAAATTTTCAGCTGAAAACAAATTGTGTGTTTAGTGAAAACGGTTAAACATGTAGTTAGGACTCAAGAAATAGAACCACCGCTGGGTAAGTGTGGGGAAACGATGGAGCAGCATGGGCGTTTCACGCCCAATCGGTGCACATGGTGTAAAAAAAAAATAGAATATGTCATCCATTTCGGACTAGAGGCCTAGATAAGTCATATCACAAATATATAATTTCTAAGAGAAATGTACAGTAATTAGTAAGCCCTATAAACTAATCGCTTTAATTAATTTACCCTACCATAAACATATTTTATTTTATAAGAACCAGTAAAATTTTTTGCCGATTTCAAGCTCAAAATGTTCCATTTTTATTCTTATTTTTGCACACACATCACACTACACTTCTTGGCGAACTTACAACCCCTGTGATTAGCGGCCCGGAAGTATTCTCAGGGTGAGGGAGGGGCCATTGGCCACTCGTCGGCCCTGAATAATAGCCAACATGGCTTCGGCCCCTTGCATATTCTTCAGCATCATCATGAACCCTGAAATTCCCAACTGTCGCCCCATCGCTTCACTTTAGCTTCATTGCTCGTTACTGATTTTCTGTTTTCTTTGTAAACCTTATAAAACATCCATGATATGAATAACTGAAATACCGATACAATAATGGCGTGGTACGGTGAAATTATTCCATTATAACCAGAGTAATCCTTTCATCACCACAATCTTCCACCAACCATATAGAAACATCATAATAATCGCTGTCAATGGTTTAGCCAAGCGTGTTTTCCAATTATACGATCTTTTATTACGTATATATATTTAAGGTTACGCGAACAATAATCACAAATCACAAAGGCCCAAAGCATTTTTTTCAATCTAAGACTACTATGCAAGACAACCATATTTGTATAGTTGCCTCAGATTCAGCTACTTCTTATACAACTTGTTGTTATACAGGCTGGGGTATTTAGAACTTCAATGGATAAAATTGTCACTCTATGCAAAGACATTTTTAAATGAATACACCCAATGTTTAGGCATCCAGAGATTTTCTGACGTGTGGATATGAAGTCCACGCCGCCACGCCTACCTCAGCCCTACCATGGTTGGTGAAAATAAGTGGTAAACAATTGAACTCTCCTTTTGCCCACTGCTGTATATGGCCACTGAACTCATGGGTGCACTCCCTTTTTTGCTCTTTCCTCTCTTTAACTCATATTTGTCCCCCTCTTTTTTTATTTTTGGGCTTGACTGACTCCCCCACTGGATCTGCACCTGTTTACTTTAGATAGGTTATAAACTTGTGTCCTTTTGTTATCATCAGTGGAGACGTACATAAAGCAGCACGTGGCAACAAGATTTTGAATTTAGACCAGCTATTAGTATAAGTAATCATAACCTCATACATATAAGAATCTGCAATACCAACTCTCTATTTTAACACAATCAATTTTGTCGACATTTTGAGAGCAGTTCTTTTCTTTCTGTTTCATAAATAGGGCAGAGATCAGGATGTGACATGTCCACATGCACATTTTGAGTCATTTCACAATATTTAAACTGGATCGAACATAATACGGTGATTGTTAAAGCACCATGACCGGCCAAATCCTTGTAAATCTTGCAGCTCATGTCATCACGTGGATAGGTTAGCCAATCAGGAAGTTTGATTGAATGCATGGCATAACACTTATTGCTATGTAGTCACAGCAAACCACACTCACCAACCTGTTAGCGTACTGTATACACAACTACTGTACTGAGCAAACCACACTCACCAACCTGTTAGCGTACTGTATGAAACTATAAAGTACAGTAATCTACAAACAAAGAAGATGGCTTCAAGGCAATATACAGCGTAAGTGTTTACCAATATTATTTTACCTGTGTTTAGACGTACGTTATAACTTAATTGTATACATTTCTAACTTGTATAATTTGTTTAATTTATTAAATAATATTGGAAAAGAAATGAAAATTTATTATAATGAAATTTTATAACGAACTTAGAATAGTATATTTACACTTGATGTCCTAAAATCGACATCGTTATATTATTATTAACCAAGAAATCAATCAATTTATGTACAATGATTGTATTTTTTGAATTATTTTTCTGTTAACTAAATTGAGGCATTATTAAAGCCTAATAATAGACAATAATAATGGTGATGCTAATAATTATTTAGACACAGACAGCACCTCAGATATTACAATGTAAATGATTTATTAGCTATTGTATTATTTTAGTATTTATGACTGTTTCCTTTTAACATCGCAGTGACGATTTACACCTGGCAACACTTAACGAACAATGGGATGAAGTAAGACTCATTATCAGAGCCGCGCCTGAACTCGTAAATGAGAAACGGGTATGTAATGTATACAGTATTCAATTTTAGTTCAATATCATTTAGTTCAAAGAATAATCACAGCAAATTAGGCCTATAATATTAATTACCGGTACATTAATAATAAAATCACCTTTCTTGCAAATGTAAGCTCATCATGCGATGTCACCATTAAAGACAGGGCAAACTAAAAATGACACTGAAACAAAAACTAAGAAATATGTACTGTAATTGAATTAATATGTATTATTTTCCCAACTGTCCCATATGCAAAGCACCAACACAATCATGAACATTTAAATTAGTGTATTAAAAATGTTGAGAGATAATTTTACAGCAAAAATGATAAAACAGGAAGTGTTTATTATTTTTATTGTTATTATATAGTCCAGTCCAGTATAAAAATCAGGTTACAAATTTTATTAAATTCAATAATTTCTATGCTCAAATTTACAATTTGTATGTTACTGCAAAATTAACAAATTTATTTCAAATTATTTTTTATATGATTTTTTTTGTACTTTAAGGACTAGGCGTACATAGTACACTGATACAACTTGTTTAAAAATCAAAGTTATTCGTTATAATTAGCGTGTGCTTATTATGCATAGGCCTACTGGTCAAAAGATACTTGGTAGCATTGTTTAAACCTATAAAATAATGTTTCTTATTTATTATTATTCCTCTTTATAACTTTATAATTATAAAGTTAAACAATTCATTCAATAATGTATTTACAATAGAAAGTAAATGGCAATGGGTGTAATTGTTGAATTATTGTTTGAACTTCAATTGTGTGCGCTCTCCTAGCACCTAAATTCTCGCAGACAACCAAAGATATTAGTCTAGCACCCTTTTTAGTGCAACAGCTACTTATCTTTAAAACTTTATTGAGATAGGCCTACTTGATTATTGACTTTGGTGGTATTAGTTATAGTCTAAATAATATTGTTAATACATATTGAGTTTTTTTTGTTTTTGTTTTTTTTTTAGCATTTCAAAACACAACACAACTACAGTAAAAACAAAGGTTGTCGCCGACTCAGCGGCATTGTATCAGAAAACAACATGCAAAACAAAAGAAACCTAAAATAAATATAAAGAAAAACAACAATTCTTTTTGCAAGCAATTGAATTCTGTAAATGAGAATTTGGAGAATAGAACATTCTACACGTTTCCATTTAAGAACATGCGAGTTCGATCTATTGTTTTCGAAAGCAATCTGCTTTTCAACTTCTACCGTTCTTTTTACGATAATTTTAAAGTGATTAAAAACGGAGTAACCTTAAGGTGGTTGCATTTAAAAGTAAATCTTCGCAATGAGTATTTATTGCATCAAAATTATGGCTTGTCCCTATGTGCCAAATAAAAGTAGTTAAAAATCACCTTATTATTAGCACCCATCAACTGATCATCGACGAGCCTCCCCCCCCCCAACTTCTCCTTACACCCCTCAACCCATCAGAACTCACATTTCAGGACATCAAGATATGCCACTGGATAGAGGTGCAATGATACAGTTCTTAAATGCCCATCACCAGAGTCTTCTCCCCCCGGACCAGCCACCAGCGGTTTCACCTTATGACCCCTGGTCGTGACATTTTGAAGCTTTGTAGATAAAACTGTTCTTTGTGCATGGATTAGTGGTTTTTCTTTAGTGTAACACCTACTTATCTTTAAAAGTTTATTGAGATACCGTACTCGCGCGAATAAGCGCCCCGTTTGAATAAGCGCCCCTATCGAATAAGCTCCTGGGACTGTGGATGTTGGCAATATTTGAGGTGTGGAGTGGAATCACATTCTCCTTTAGTCAATATCAAAGTGAGGATATTTATCTTTGACAGAATGATGAGAGCTCCCTGGACAGACAGTATATTTCCAACTTTCATCTTCTTTCATTTGTCTATAGCCTAGTCCTACTACTCCTTTTCCGACAATTTGCCCCTTTAACACATCTCATCTAAGTTTTCAAGAAAACCGGCAATGATCATGCCGTCGTGCTATTCTCAATCGACCGATGGCGAACAAGCTAACCACCACCACTAATTTCATCTGCTATTCTGCTGTTATGTAATACTGTACTCACAACATTCTTGTCATGACAAGCCATATGCTCTCTGGACGATTATCTTTTCCGCCGCAGCACCATTCGTAATTTGCGGTTTCCTGATGTCCTTATATAATCGTTTTTCATTCAAAATGTGCCCCTTGGATTTAATAAGTTCTCATAAGAACCACTCGATTTTCATCTATTTCCATAAACGCCCCCTCAATTTTCACTCTGTTTTTATAAGCGTCCCGTTCGAATAAACGCCCCTCGAAAAGTGCAAAATATATTTTAAGCGCCCGGGCGCTTATTCGCACGAGTACGGTACTTGATTATTGACTTTGGTTATATTAGTTATAGTCTATAATGTTGTTAATACATTAAGATTTCATCATTCAATACTTTTCTTTTATCTAACTTAAATGCTCCGCCTGGCATATGTTTGCGCTTAATAATGAAATTCATTGCACTTGTTCACTCCTACAGTACTAGAATTTTCTTTGTAAGCATTTTTACACTGAAGATGACAGTTTTACTACAGAAACATGCTGTACCAGATTTATAATAAAACAGTTTGGCCTATTTTAAAAGGTAGCTTGAAATCGGTTGTGATTAAAAATATTTTTTTTTAGTTGTAATCATTCAAAACTGTTGTCTAAATCCTGCCCATGGCCATTGCAGATGTCATCAACCAGTGGAAAGGCAAATAGTAAATTGCCTATCAAAATAACGTTATTTTGATTGCCAATTCCTAATACTGTGGTCTAGAAGCACAATTTGGGCCACAAGCTATGAAAACTCTCCCCATGAACCATATCAGGAATTTTCTTTCTATTCCGGGACCCCAACCGAGGATAGTCGGCCCCTTGGTTTGGACACTTCCGTAGGACTTGATTGTCGAACCCCTTGTTGGCAAACTTGTGGAGCTACAACTTTCATCAACTATGTGCTTTTTTTATTTTAGGTTTAGTGTTTGTGCTGTTTTCCGTACGTTTATGTTATATCAAATAAATTCAATCAAAATCTAGTACCAAATGATACTTAACCTTTGCAACATGCATATAATATGTTAGTTGTAATCATTTAATACTTTTGTCTGAAAAACCTCTAGTCTCATTATTCACTTTTTTGTTTTAAATACAACAATGACGACGACGATGATAATGAATAATATTGATAATAATACTATAATACAAGTAATATTAATATAATAATGCTTGTAATGATTATGATAGTATACAGTACAGCGATTCCGATAATTGTAGTACTTATTACAAAGACACTAATACAAATCCTGTTAACATTTCTAAAGTCATCCTTGCCAACAAGGGGTTCGACAATCAAGTCCTACGGAAGTGTCCAAACCAAGGGGCATAGCTTAAGGTAGTTAGGGACGTTCTGGGTACGACATTAAACTCCATCCGGTCGAAGCGTCGGCGACTAAACTGACAACCCTCTCAAATGTCTTAGTGGCTGCTGAGGGGAGGTGTTTATGGTCACCCAGCAGCAAGAAAAACCAATAGCTGAACAAAGGGCGGATGAGCTCCTCGGAGTCAACGGCCAAAGTTTATGGAATAGGAGTAGTTTAGTCTCATTGTTATTGTTATTATGATTATTTTTATTTTATTTTATTGTTACTATTTTATTGTTATTTGCTTTTTCTCAGTTGGCTTATATTATTTCTCTGTAAAGCGCAAAGGGGCAATGTGCAATTATTATTATTATTATTATTATTATTATTATTATTATTATTATTATTATTATTATTATTATTATTATTATTATTATTATTATTATTATTATTATTATTATTATCATAGATAACATCAACAATTTCAATTTGTGCTTCTTGGTTTTAAGTTTCGTTTTTGACCTGTTTTCCGTATATTTATGTTGATGGAGTAAGAGCAGCTTACTGTTTGGGCTTATGCCTATTACTTACTCCTGGCAAGAATATTGTATGTATACTTTTTACTCTGCCGAATAAATATTATTATTATTATTATTATATAAAATAATGAAATCAAATTCATACCAAATGATATTAGACCATTCAGTTATACAGACAGTGGCGTATCTAGGGGTGCGTGTGGGAGGGGGTGCACGCCCGGTCGAGTAGTAGTTATTTTGGTTTTTTTTTAGCATTTCAAAACACAACACAACTACAGTAAAAACAAAGGTTGTCGCCGACGCAGTGGCATTGAATCAGAAAAACACATACAAAACAAAAACTTAAAATAAATATAAAGAAGAACAACAATTCTTTTTGCAAGCAATTGAATTCTGTAAATGAGAATTTGGGGATTACAACATTCTACACGTTTCCATTTAAGAACATGCGAGTTCAATCTATTGTTTTCGAAAGCAATCTGCCTTTCAACTTCTAGCCTTCTTTTTACGGTAATTTCTTTTTTACGATAATAAATTACGGAAAAAAAACGGAGTAACCTTAAGGTGGTTCCATTTAAAATGTAAATCTTCACAATGAGTATTTATTGCATCAAAATTATAGCTTGTCCCTATGCCAAAAAAAGTAGTTAAAAATCACCTTATTATTAGCACCCCTCAACTGATCATAGACGAGGCTTCCCCCCCCCCCCTCAACTTCACCTCACACCCCTCAACCCATCAGAGCTCACATTTCAAGACTACATGGATACAGGTGCAATGATACAGTTCTAAAATGCCCATCACCAGAGTCTTCTCCCCCCTGGACCAGCAACCAGTGGTTTCACCTTATGACCCCTGGTCGTGACATTTTAGGGCTTTGTACATAAAACTGTCCTTTTTGCATGGATTAGTGGTTAAAAACATCTTCAACTGTTTCGAGCTGTGTCAGAAAAAAAGAAGTTACGGCAATGGGCTTCATCATCTAATAGTGTAGTCTTGTGGGCAGAACGCGGATGTCCGCAATTTCAGACATGTACACGCAAGAACGATTCCTGACAAGAGCAAATATTAGTCTAGCGCCCTCTTTAGTTTAAATTATTGCGTTGAAGGATACACTACACAAGTATCCATCATGAGAATTTTTAAGCTGTTTTAAAATGATTTCAGGGAGTGTTTCCTGACAATACCAGGTATTATAAACCAAACTATTTTTAATAAAGCCACGTAGACCTACAATTTGAATTTATGTTTAAAATTCGAGCACCTGAATTATGTACACAAACATTGCATTAGGCCTACTTACACAATCAAAAAATGAATAGGCATAACTAAGGTGAATAGCCACCTTGGTGAGGTGAAAGCAAGTCTCAAATTTTCAATGGTTATGGTTATTGCTTTCTGGTTTCTTATTAAAATATATTTTATTAGTTAAATTTTCTCACGATCCAGGATAGAATGCTCATAAGAACCAGGAGACTATACTATCAATTTGGGAAACTACGCGTCTACGATATAAAAATTATTTTAAGATTTTTAAAAACCGTACTTCTGTAATAGTTTAAAATAATTTCGATTTTAAAAATTATTTTTCCAAAATACTGCAGGTCGTCAGACTCACTAATTGTGCTTGTTGTCCCAAAGATTGAATATCTGATGCTGTGGAGTTTGACCTACTTTTTCACAATTTAAATACAGTAACTCGTCTATCGCTAGGCGATTCTACGTTCACTTTAGAAGTTGTGAAGCCCGTAATAATTTGGCATACAAAAATACACTCATTGATAGGGAAAAAATCCTCATGTGCTCATGAGTCTTTTTCCCTCAGTAATCTGAAATTTGATAAGAGATACTTTCACTTTGGTAAGAAAAAATGCAAAAAGGGTGGTGGCTACCAACGTGGTATCGCTGACAGTTTTCAGGGAATTTTATTTAATGACCCATTTTTATCAAATTATATAGTCTTAAACCATGGAGGTATAAAATAGAAGGAGAAACAACCAACCTAAATCCTATTAACTAAATGGCTTTTTGTGTGATATACTCTAACTTGCTCAATCCTGATTGGCTGCCTAAAATGAATTCAAAAAGGCCGCTCTTCTCTACTGCGCCCAAGGCGACCATTAACACCGCGAGGTCACTGGTTCCTGTTCTGCTGTTCACAGTACGGTATAGTCATAGCGGTCAAAGGTCAAAAGTTTCCAATTTAGCAAGAGGGCGCCATTCATGCCTTATTACAGAATTTGCACGCGTAAATCGCTGAGAACGCTATCTTGTGTTTATAAGATCTTTGCTGCCTACAGACCAACTAGGAATGGTTGACCTGGGATGTGTTCGTTTGCATACTTGCCTGAGGGTATTGATAATGATGTGCGATACCGAGGTTAATGGGTTTTTTTAATGTGTCGGCAACTCAGTTAAGTACAAAGGGTTAAGGAACTTTTTTCACCTTTCCAACCTTTTTTCACCACTACGTAATCTTTATAGGCCTAATATTTTAATATACTGAAATCGAAGTGCAAGTAAAATTTTTCATCTTTGTTTGCTGGTTCTTTGGTGTGTTTAAGTACCGGTATTTTCTTAGTCTCTTAATTAAGAGGGGCATTAGCCATACAATAATTTATAGCCAGACCAATTGACTTCACATTTAACTATTGTTAAATGCATGATAACTGAAAGTAAATATTTCGTGGTTAACAATTACATAGTTAGTAGAAACGTATCTTACTTTAATTATTTATATTAGGAAATATTTCAATACAATATCAATGAATTCGTTTGATGCGCAGGTATAAATTCATGAAGATGTCTCCAGTTATTTTGTATAAGATCAATCCCACAATTCAATTTAATTTATTTAAAAAAAACCTCCGTAACGAAGAAGTAAAATAGTACAACATAACAATTTCATTAACATGGTCAATTTCATTACAAAAACCAGAAAAATTGAGAAAAATGTTTTAAATACAAAATTCAATTAAATCAATAAAAGGAGAGAACAAAACACCACTTTAACAGGTACAGACAAAATCAAAATATCAAATGCAAAACAAAATTATTATTGCAGCCAAAATTATATGTTAATATGTGTAGGCCTGTATCCAAATTATAAAATAGACATATTTTTCTGAAGTTTATATAAAGATGTTTCCAATTAGTCAATATGATATATAAGTCTTTGTATTTGTTATAAAACTCTAATCAAGAGAAGGGCAGTTACGATGTTTAGAATATAATATTTCGAAAAAATTATGATTCCGAACAGAAGTAGGCTAAGTATAGGCCTATCTAATGATAAAGAATAGGCAGATTTTGTCTGAAGCTTCTAATGCTTTGCAAAACGTTTAATTAATCAATATAATATGTCTTTGTATTTGTTATAAAACTTTAATCAAGAGAAACGTAGTTACGAGGTTTAAAATATAATATTTCGAAAAAATTATGATTCCGAACAGAGATAGTCATATCCCACGATAAAGAATAGGCAATTTTTTTTTAAAAGTAGTATAGGTTTAAAGCTAGGTAAAATTGTTAATTAGTCATTAAAACATATATGTGTTTGGATTAGTTTTAAAACTTTACTCAAGAGAAAGTCAAATATGATCTTAAAAATGTAGCTTTTCAAAAAAAATATGATTCCGAACAAATGGATAAACAGGAGTTGTGTATCTAATGATAAAGAATAGGCAATTTTCTCTGTAGTCAGTATAGGCCTAATGATGAAGAAAAATCTTAACTAGTGGATAAAACATATTGTCTGTATTCTTTTCAAACCTTTATACAAAAGAAATATATCTAGAGTGTTAAAAATACAAAATTCCTAAAAAATTATGATCTGAAGCAAACCCTAAACTAACATAAAATTTTTCAATGCAAAAGAATAGGGAAAAGCGTTCATTAAAAAAAATTGATAAAATTTACGATTTTTAAACGATTAGCTTTAAAAAGTTAGTTAATTTGTAATAATATTTGAATATTTAATTGATTGTGATTATTTAATGTAATTATGATGTGATTAAGTTGTGTTTATATGTGATATTTTGTGTATGTGTGATAGTTGAATGTGTTTTGTTATCATCGTATTTTGTTGTTTTCGTAGGACAGCGACCCGTTATTATATCTGATTGTGTACCACAGCGCACCACGTGATGTCATCACTAAGAGTTTAAAATCAGCGACCGTAAAAACAGTGGACTACGTGAACTACTGGGTGAGTAGAATTATGTATCATTACAATTACATCAACACACAAAATACAACAACACAGCATCTATACACAACATACCATACACCACTCTACATCAATTCTTACCTAACAACAACAACTTATTACATTTAAAACATATCTTAATCATCATCCACACTATAAATATGATATTTTATTATATTTTACGATCAATGTTGATTGTTTATTGTTGAAATTTCCCGCACGGTTGTCGTGCAAATATCAAGTCATTGCGCCTTGGATGAGGAAGAGAAGCAGCTCACAACCAAAATAAAGGTGTTGAAAATCACTGAAAAATCAGTTTTACATAAAAAAATCATAGTCATGTTTGATCTTGTTTTGATCTGTATTGAGCACTGAATATAGTAAATAAAATTTCACTAAGAAATTCAAAAAAAGTACATATAAGCTAAAAAATATTTTTTAAGAGATGGTGATTAACTTGTACAAAACATAGGGCGTCCATGTTGTGTGATAATGATATAGCCAAGCCAAATGAATGCAAAAAAGCCTGTTAAAAATTACTGAAAACGAGCTTTACATAGAAAATTCACATTTGTGTCACGTATTTGTTCGAGTAGTCAATGTACACTGAATATGAATTGTACAATTTTATAGGAAAAATCCATAAAAAGTATGATGGCCTAAAAAATATTTTTTTAAAGAGATGATGTACGTGTTGTATATTCTCTGTTTTCATATTCCTTGTTCATTGTGTAGGACGTGTTTGGTCGTCGTAATTGTATTCTACATCGCATTGCGGCATTCGGCTACGCTCAGCAACTGAGAGAAGCACTCAGGATTTCTGCACGCAATGTAAATAGGGAAGACAGGGTACGTATAGGAAACAACACATTATTCATTAAAAACACTGAATGACAAATCGTCATTATTAAATAAATACATTATTCATAAAATTATAATTAAATATTTATCCCTAAATATAATCATGACGGTAAAATACTGTATTTATCACTTTTATCACGGTTCAATTGCTTATGTATGGTTTCAACCGTTGTAAAAAAATATAATAATATTTATTGACATTACACTTTTACATCAGTGGCAGCACACAAGAAAGTGGTGCAGTCAAACTTAAACTAATGAACAAAGAGTAAAACAACATCTTAAAGCTAAACAAATGAAAGACCTTATGAACAAAGAGTAAAACAACAACTTAAATCTAAACAAATTAAAGAACTTAACGAAAGAAAATACAACTTAGATCTAAAATAAATCATAAACATCCCTCACCCTCCCCACACAAATAATGTATAATACACATTACGTGCATACAGTACCCCACCCAAATATGTGTGTATATATATACATATATATACATACATATATATATATATATATATATACACTCATATATATATACATACATACACACACACATACACATATATACATATATATATACATACATACACACATACATACTGTGTTGATTTCGATCGCGTCAATATACAGTATGGCTAAATTCTTCTGCAATGACATAGGCCTAGTGCAAGACATCAACATTGAAGCGGTTTCAATTTAGGGTCAAGCCAGCTCCACCTAACTAAGAGGGGTGGGGGAGATGGTGAGCAGTTGCAGGGGGAAAGATCAGCATGGGCGGATCCATTGGAGGATTGGACATGTGCCTCCCCGTTTTGCCACTAAATTTTTGAAACTCTGTCGGATCAACAATGGCGGATCCAGTAAGGGGGAGGCAGGTCAAGAAGGGTGGGTTCATTAAGTTGGGCACACACGTCCTCGTTTTTGCGGCTAAATTTTTGACAAATTTTTGGCATATTTATGTTATGTGCTACTTACTTATATCCATTCTAAAACTGTTGTGCCGCCACCTCGCCCCTTCCTGTTAGTAAAATTCTGGATCCGCCCATCATAAAACTTGAAAATAATTCCTCACAAGGACTATCCAGAAAAGACACTCATCTACAAAGACATCATCTACAAAGACGTCCTTTAGAAAAATAGTAACATGCTAACCATAACGTTCACATTGCCTCCTCCTCATTCAAAACCGTGTGGAGCACAGGTATATATACTAGTAGAGAATAATCATCATAATGGACATTATTTAGTATAAATTAATAGTAGTTTTAAAATATTGTTATGGAAGAAAATTGTCATGAAAATGTATTTTATACAAAGTGAAATTTGGGTTATATTTACCTAAATTTTAACTGTAATGTTAATGATTGCATCATAATAGTAGTTTTAAAATATTGTTATGGAAGAAAATTATCGATGAAAATGTATTTCATACAAAGTGAAAGTTAGTTATTTACCTTAATTTTAACTGTAATGTTATTGATTGCATTATTTCATTTGTTTACAGAGGTTTTGACTGTGTCTGGATTGGTAACAATGAATATGTTGTTTATTCACATTATGCTATCCTTTGTACGGTTAAATGAGCTCTCATTGATTAACACTGTTTTCAATTGTGTTCCAGCTTGGCAATACTCCACTTCACATCTTGTTGTTATTTAACCATTCGTATGGAGATCACATAGACGCAACTAATTACTTGATAAAGGCTGGAGCGAATGCCAAATTAATAAACAAGGTAAGGTAGATAAAAATGATGACAGTGAAGATGATGATGATGATTATTATGATTATGGTGATGATGAAGATGTTTATAATTAAATAATGGTGATAAGGAGCATACTGAAATTAATGATGGCAACTATAATGTCGATATTGTATGGCGACTAATACTATTAGGATTTAGGCCTATACACTACAGTAGGCGAAATTTTATTCATGATCATTGTAGCAACTATTGATTTTTCTCAATGTTTTATTGTTAACATGAATATTTACAAGATGCAATTGTAGAATTAAAGAATAATTAAATTGATATGTAAATTTCAATTCAATTGTTTTGAATTTTTTTGGGGTAACATTTGTTGAAGTGCTTTAAAATGGTGATTGTTTTGCTTGATTATTTATTTAATTCATGAGGTATGATATGTGATTGTCTTTGCAGGATGGTCAAACTCCAGCTGAAGTGTATGTGAACAACAAATGTGAAAAGTATGATTCTACCAACAGAGAAAAACAGAAAGAAATGCTCATGCGTCTCCTACAAAGTGAGCTGTTCATACGAACATAAGTTCATATTTAATTTATTTGTTTTGTTTCATATCAAATATCATACATTTTAAAATTAATATTAGTATATTCGCATTTTGTATATTTAGTATGAAATTCTTCAAACACCATTTAAATGTCCATTCATTTGTTTATATGTGCATATCTATTTTTGCAATTGTATTTATGTGTATTGTACAGTGTATATTATGTACTGTACTTACATTTAAACACAGTAAATAAGATTCCCAATGTTAGCTGTATTAAATTACAGTATTTTGATTAGCAATCCAGGCGGCTATTGGTGGCGCTTTGTAATATTTTACAGCATTTGTTTTATGCTCGATTCAGACAAAATGATAGCGCTATCACTCAGTGTATCATTGAATATAATACTGTAAAACATTTATTCGATGATGAAAATAAAACTACTACTCTAGGCCTATATTTTCTCCGTCTGTTATCACCATAGTAATTTATTGCCCCTCTTTTGGAATAAATAAGTTTTAATTCTATACTTTTGTTTGCAAATTTGCTTTTATTATGGTTACATAATCACAAGACTGGGTTTGATGAAATAAATGTTGCACCATTGCTACGAATGATTCTATGAGAAAAGAAATGCAAAATCACAATTGAAGCAATGAAAAATTTGTATGAATGGATAGGTTAAAAGAGAACTAGCAAAATGATTTTTTGTTCTAGAAGGGAATTTTGAGATGTAATTTATAATATAATCAACCTTAAAATCACTTTTTGGCAATTTCTTATGGAGTTATAGGTCATTATATACGATTTAGTCGTGACGTCACTGGCGAAAAATGTAGCAAAAGATCGTGTAAATAAAACCGCGTAGGGTATCCGCCGCGTACAATCTTTGCGTGCATGCTGTAACCATAGCTGTAACTCTTTTGTTGACAACCGCTGATGCAGTTATAAGCCTATATGCAAGTTACAACAACCATGGTTACAGCATGCACGCAAAGATTGTACTCTTCAGTAAATGACAGCATTGCAGGCGGCTGGCCTCAATAATTATATTTAACAAGTTTCATGAAGGAATTCAATGTGTAATTCAGAAATATATTTATGCTTAAAGCGGGGATGGTTCCAACGGAAATCTTGGCGCGTGGGACCGAAGCAGTGGAAGCTTTTAATGATGCTCTAGCTGAGGGAGAAACAGAGGTTAATCAAGGAAGGACAGTTTTCATGGGGCTCGAGAGAGTCGGGAAGACATCTACTATCAAGTCATTTTTAAGGAATACGTAAGCTAAATATTTCCAATGTTTGCTTTACCTACTTAACCAGTAGAAATAGGTGAAGTCTTCAAATGTTTTTTAAGAAACCTGTAATTCAAATAATTTTTGTATTTTTTTTAAGAATCGACAACTTTAATAAATGTACAGTATGAAAGCTTCAATAATATCAATCCATTATTTTAAGTACGTTTCTACACATTTATTTATATATCTACGTTCTGTACATCATTTATTTGTATTATGCTTTCTGTAATAGCAATATCTCTAGATTAATAATTTCATTTTGCTTTAGTTTTGATCCACATGAGGGTATTACGGACGCAATTGCCAACACAATGGTGTGTACCCATGAATCGCACGATGAATTGAATTGGAAGGAAACATCACCTGATCATTGTAAGTAAAGCGTAAACATTTTTGTAAAGTTATATAAATCAATACGAAGCAATGGGACTCATATTATGTGCTGTAGCTTATCCCAATTTTCAAGCAGCGTGAAACGGATGAGAGCAGGATGTTCCGCTGGGTGTGACGCTGGTCCACCGCAGGTTACTCCCAGCAATTTGCTGGTACCCATTATTGATACAGCTGGGTAGATTGAAGCAATGTAAATAAAGTACCTTGCTCAAGGACACAAGCGAAATGCACAGTGAAGTATTGAAACCCAACCTCGAGGTACGGATTCCAAATTATTGCAGTGTGCCTAACTGCTTTCACTATATGTGAAACTTCCTTGTACCTATCCTATAAGTCAATTCTCAGCAAGGTTGGGGTTATTGTAAATTTGTTAATAAATATGCAAATCACTATTCACCAAGAGATCTGTCTAAAATCAATTATTGAACTAACAAAATGAACTTAATCATATAGTAAAATCTTATTCGAATAAATTAATTATACTCTATCTCTGAACAGCTGGTGCCAATGACATGTATGAAGCAAAAATGGCAGATTCCATGGCGAAAAGAATATTAGAAAAAGAAACGGAGAAGAATGTAGAAGTAACAAGACAAGTAAGATTTACACACTATCAATTTGTTGATATTTACAAGTATTTAAGTTGGTTAATATTAAAATATTTAATGCTACTAATAATAACAAATAATGGATATAATCCAGCTAAATTATATAATGGTTAATTTCTTATTTCTTTTTGTTTTACAATTATTTCAAGAGCGTGTTATCACCAGCTAAAGCAGAGACGAAATATAATCAGGGTAAGACGTTCGTGTTTGCATTTCATAAGAAATTGATTTAATGAATACATTATTTTCATTCGGTATTTCACACACAGAGGGCCATCACATGTCATAGCCTTAGTGCCAAAGCACCTCTATTAACAACATAATACGTATGTTTGTTCTTTGAAGTCTTATAGGTAAATTGCCAAAAGAATACCACCTGGAACAGCTAATTTAGAACTTCGAACATGAAATAACAAAAAATCCCTCACTAACTGACTGACACTTCACTGTACCAAGCACTACCTAACCTTGTAGGGTCAGTGGAAAAACCCCATTATCCTACTATTTCTTTTTTTTAATTATGCAAGTTTTTATTCTGAATCTTCTATAAGGACAATCATCATCGAATGTTGGCGCCAGAAACCCGAAAATAGAATCGGATACCAAAGAGCAGACACAGGCACAACCGATGGAAGAGGTCCCCGAAACCATCGCCACTAAAGTCCAGGAGCGAATAAAAGAACTCGAGTTCGCAAGAGGAGATGCGACGCAAGAATGGCAAAAATCTGGCAACGATTTTATTATGAGTATCTGGGACTTCGGAGGCCAGCCGATATATCATGTGATACAACGAGTAAAGTCATT